TGGCTGGTGGGTTTGAACCGCCAGCCCTCTGGTTAGCAGTCAGATGCCTTAGGCACTACCTGGAGAAAATATTCATAAAACATGTCTGACAAAAAATCTTTATCAAGAATAGATAATGAGCTCCTACAACCTGACAATTAAACAACAATAACAATAACAAAAAACAAACAGCATCCTATTATCTTTAAATGGGTATAAGACTTGAACAGATACTTCAACAGAAAGGAAGAGATACAAATGGCCAATAAAACACTTAAATGAGCACTCAATATCATAAGTCATCAAAAAGTGGGTATTAAAATTACATTGAGATACCAATACTTCTAATTTTTTGTTAAGTGCCTTCAAGTCAGCTCCAACTCATGGCAACCCCCTGTGTAACAGAATAAAGCATTGCTCGGTCCTGCACCATCCTCACAACAGTGGATTGTGTTTGAGCCCATTGTTGCAGCCGCTGTCAGTCCATCTTGTTGAGGGTTTTCCTCTTCTTTGCTGACCGTCTACTTTACCAGGCATGATTTTCTTCAGAATTGCTCCCTCTTGATAAGTGTCCTAAGTAAGCTGGATGAAGCCTTGCCATCCTGGCTTCTAAGGAGCATTCAATTTTCCTTTTTTATGTCCAGCTTTTACATGTGTATGAAGCAATTAAGAAGACCATGGCTTGCGTCAGGCCCACTTTTGTCATTTTAGGATTTTAAAGAGATAGATCTTTTGCAGCAGATTTGCCCAGTGCAGTATATCATTTGATTTCTTGCCTGCAGCTTCCATGGGCATCGACTGTTGAGCCAAGTAAGATGAAATCCTTGACAACTTCTGCAGTGTAGTGAATTACTTAATGTGGCCCTTCTAGCCACAGTCCTCCCTTTTGTGATGTATTGTAAATCCTAGCCTCTATGCCTGTGGTTATGGTCCCATTTGGGGGTGAGTTGTCTGTCACATTAATGAAGCAGGATTAGAGTGGGATTTGTCTTGAGTGACACCTTGGACGATGGAATGCTTGGGCCAGTGTTCACTCTCTTGCTCTGGATCCTGCATCTGGGTTGTCACCATTTCACCCCTCAGCCTTGGGGCTTGTGACAGCCAGTTGTCTGACCTGCCAATTTGGGTCCGCCAGCCCCTGCAACAAATGTGGTGGGACTTTTCATAAAGTTCTATCCCCCAGGCATTTATTGTCTATTATCTGTCAAGATTTGTGCAAGGTAATTGAGGTTCAACAGATAAACACAAAGCACAGTTTCATCCTTTAGGGAGTATCAGACTAGTGGGAAATGGACATCAGTGAGAAGCAATACCACCTGTGTAATGCCTTACACTTAGAGGAATAGAAGTAGCATTCACCTTACACATAACTCTGCTATAATGAATGTGTTACTGCTGTTGCTAGCAGTTTTAGTTTGACTTCAGATTTCTGTGACTCTGTTTAATAATAATATTTCAGTAATTTTGGAAATTCAGCACAAAACTAAGACTGCTTGACTTACTAAGAGTGCTTTGTTTTTATTCAGTTTGGTTTATTTAACCAAAATCTTATTTTTTTAATGTATTTAAATTTTTGGATTAATTAATTTTATTTTATAATATTTGGAAATAGGAATCTGTAAGATCATGGTATTTGAATTTTAGTTTTAGGACTTGTTACTTAGTGCATCATATGAAATTTATGTACATCTGGTGTTAGTAGAGTTGTGTACTTCAGCAAATTATCATGGTCTGTTACCTACCCATCAACACTAGATGGTGCTGTGGGCTTAAATAAGTTTTCTTATTTGACAATTCAGCCATCTTTTGTCTTATCAAAATCTCTTTTTGGGATATGCATTCCATTAAAATTTGTTTTTTTACAGTTAAAATGCAGGTGCTATTTATACTATTTATAAACTTTTACTTCTTGAGTTAGTGATGATTCGTACATGATATCTTTTATGTAGATTCTATTTATACATGGCTTCTTGCAGTTACACAAATGAAGATGAAAACATCAGTGGAACAAAATAAAAGTATAAAATCAGTTTGTAAAATTCCTTTTAGAGAGAATTTTACCCTACAAATACTGGTTTATATATAAGTGCTTAACTTAGAGCAATAATGATCTAAGTTATCGTAAAACAGTCTTTCTCGTTTTTGTGTTGTTTTGTTTTTCTTATGAAAAATGGTATTCTATTTTGTATGCAAAATCAAGATAAGTTAATTTTTAAATTTCTTTGAGTATTATATGATTATTCCCCCAGTTTCCAACTTCCAAGTTCCTTTAATGTCCTCTCTGTCCTTGAGTTCTCCTGCCTCCTCCTAGTTCTTCTTAATAGACGTGCTCATTGCTATCACCAGAGACATTTTCTTTGGATATACGTAGGTTTGAACACTTGTGCTAGAAACTTTAATCATGGAAGTAGGACAGGCTTGGGTATTTGTAGTTAATAAAATAGTTGATTCCATACAAACTGAGGGAGCACTGGTGGTGTAGTGCCTAAGGCATTTGACTGCTAACCAGAAGGCTGGCAGTTCAAACCCACCAGCCACTCCTGGGAGGGAAGGTTGGGCAATCTACCTCCATAGTGATATAGCCTCAGAAACCCAAGGAGGGGTTGCTTTGAGTCAGATCTGACTCTGCGTCAGTGAGTTTGGTTTGTTTTTTTGGATATAAACTTTATTTTTTAAAAATGATTCTGGTGCACAGTCAAGGTTGAGAGCCACTGGTGTACACTAGATTGCATTAGAATTTTTCTGTCCAGCTGAAAGAAGTGGCAGCCAAAGCTGTAAAGAGGCATTTATTTCTTACAGAGCATTACATTCTTCTACCTTCTTTCTGAACTTCCCTGGTAGTTTAGGGGTTGAGAGTTTGTGAAGTAGAACCTCTGGGGAAAAGGGAATACCGTTTTCCACAACCCTAGTGTACAGTATAGGTGGTTCAGAAAACTAACTCGTTAGATATCAACTTGTTTCCTTTTCCCTACATTGATTTGTTAGTAAGAATAATTCAGTACAGTGAGGAATGTCCATTATTTGGACATCTTGGTAGAAGGACCATTGCCTAGCCACTTAATCAAATTTATGTATAGTTGTTTTTAAGGAATTTGTGTTTTTTGTTTGGTCTATGTTTATTAAAGTGATCAAAGTCATACCATGTTTTAGAAAATTTATAAATGAGAGAAAAAAATTACCCAAATATTACTATTTACCATTCAAGCCCTCTTGCTCTTCATATCTGGGGGCATTTTCTTCTAGTTTTTTTCATGTGTATGTTTACATTTTATTTTAAATACTACAGTGGAGTATCTTGCTCTTTGCCACTTTCGTTTTGGTCATATATTATTAAATGAAATATGAAGATTTTTTTCAGTGTTGATCTTTCTTCCATCGAGATAAAGTTATCTTTGACATCAACCCCCACAACTGTCTGTGTGATCACGGGCAAGGTATTTCACATGTCTGCCTCCCATTTCCTCTAAAGCAAGGATAGTGTCGATGTAGAAAGTATATGTAAATTTCTTAACAATGCTTAGCACATAGGGCCTTGCTCAGTTAATAGTAGTTAAAATAATAAGCAATGAATAATATTGTATTCTTGGTAGTCCATGGTAAACTAGCCCTTTATTTGCCTTTACTTTTCCAAGATTAAACATTAAATGTATTTGTAAACTTAGGTTTCATGTTTTTAAATCTCGAATAATTACATTCTTATTTAGAAAAGTATTCTTTTTGCCACATTGAGAGAAAAAAAAATTGAATGTCTTGTTAAACTGACTACAGGTGATGGGCTCATCTCTCTCCTTGGTAGGTCTCCTGGTACTGCATCTTGGGTTGCAAAGCAGAAGGAAGCTATGGAAAAGTCAGGCTCAACAATAATCATCTCCCTAACTCAGGAGAAGCGGTATGTCAGATGAAGAAAAACCTCTACATTTCAGGAAACCTTACCACCAACCTCTTTAATGACAATTGAGTATTTTTTTCTTACGAAGTCATTATCTCAGTGAATCTCTTTAATTTCAACTTGAGTCGTAACTAAATCTGACAGCAAATAAAAAGATTTTGTTTCTTTGCATACAAATTTACTTAATTATATTTGAAAAGTCACATATCTTAATTTTGCACATGTAACTTGAAATATGTTTTTATTATTAGATCCCAGCTGATGGTCAAAGCATTTTTGAAGTGAAAGGTTTAGAAACCAATGAAAAATACATATTTGCAATTGCTGCTTATTCTTCAAATGGGAAGCTTATTGGTGATGCTATTGGGGAGACAACTAAGCCAATTCTGGTTTATCCACCTCTCTCTGCTCTTACTGCTCGGACATTACTGACACAGGTAGGAGAGACTTCTGTAATTTTTTCTTTCCTTGAAGCAGTTACTAGGTAATTTCTGATGGAAACACTATCACAGCAGATATGCTAAAGCTCCTAAAATATTTTTCATTATTGCAGTTAAGTCCCATAAAATAGGAGTCATTCTTTCTCTTATTGATTAATCTATATTTTACAATAACATTTTCCTCCCTAGGTTATGCATGTAATGCATATTAATTTTAGAAAATTTGGAAAACACGGAAATTCACAAAGAAGAAAATGAAAGTTATCTATAATGCTGTCATTCAGAGCTACAGTTCACTGTAGATATTTTTGTTGTCATAGCTAGGGAGATGCTACTAGCATCTAATCAGTAGAAACCAAGGATGCTACTAAACATCTTACAATGCACAAGACACCCCTTCTCAACAAAGAATTATCCTGCCACAATGTACATAGTGCTGAGGTTGAGAAATCCTGATTCAGATACCTCTTTAGTTATATTACTATGCGTAAGTATATAAAATATATAATAAAAAACCAAACCAAACTCACTGCCATTGAGTTGACTCCAACTCATAGTGACCCCTACTGGGTGTCAAGGTGGTAAGTCTTTATGCAAGCGGATTGCCCAGTCTTCTTCCTACAGAATGTCTAGTGGGTTTGAACCACCAATCTTTTGGCTAACAGTCAAATGCCTTAGGCACTATACCATCAGAGCTCCTTAAAATACATAATATAAATTTATGTGTGGATATAATTTTGTAAAGAGCTCTGGTGGTGCAGTGGTTAAGGCATTAGGCTGCTAACTAAAAGGTCAGAGGTTCAAACCCACCAACTACTCAATGGAAGAAAGATGAGGCAGTTTGGTTCTATAAAGATTTACAGCCTTGGAAACCCTGTGGGACAGTTCTATTCTGTTTTATTGGGTTGCTGTGAGTTGGAATTAACTCCATGTCAGTGTTTTTTCTTTTTCTTTTTCCTTTAATGTACTTTTGTTGTTATTAGATGCTATTGAGTGAGATTCAACTCAAAGCAACCCTGTGCACATTAGAATGAAACATTGCCCAATCCTGCACCACCCTCACAATCGTTGCTATGTTTGAGCCCCTTGTTGCAGGCACTGTGTCAGTCCATCTCAGGAGGGTCTTCTTCTTTTTCACTGACCCTCTACTTTACCAAGTATAATATCTTTCTCCAGGAACTGGTCCCTCCTAATAACATGACCAAAGTATGGGAGACATAGTAGTGCCATTCATCCTTCTAAGGAGCATCCTGGCTATACTTCTTCTGAGACAGATTTGTTCATTCTTCTAGCAGTCTATAGTATACTCAGTATTCTTCACCAACACCATAATTCAAAGGCATCAGTTCTTGTGTGGTCTTCCTTATTAATTGTCCAGTTTTCATAAGTATATGAAGTGATTGAAAACAGTATGGCTTGGGTCAGGCATACCTTAGTCTTTTGCTCTTTGACATTTTAAAGAGGTCTTTGGCAGCAGATCTGCCCAAAGCAATACATTGTTTGATTTCTTGAGTGCTGTTTCCATGGGTGTTCATTGTGGATCCAAGTAAAATGAAATCCTTGACAATTTCAATTCTCCATTTTTTGGTTTTTGTCCTAGTTGTGAGGATTTTGTTTTCTTCATGTTGAGGTGTAACCCATACTCAAGGCTGTAGTCTTTGATCTTTGTCAGTAAGTGCTTCACATCTTCTTCACTTTCAGTAATCAAGATTGTATCATCTATATATTACAGGTTGCTAGTAAGTCTTCCTCCAATCCTGATGCTGTGTTCTTCATACAGTCCAGCTTCTTGGATTATTTGTTCAGCATACAGAGTAAACAAGTATGGTGAAAGGATGCAATCTTGATGCACATAGTTCCTGATGTTAAACCATGCAGTATTCCCTTGTTCTGTTTGAATGACTGCCTCTTGGTCTAGGTACAGGTTCCTCATGAATACAATTAATCATTCTGGAATTCCCATTCTTCGCAATGGTATCCATAATTTGTTAGGATCCACATAGTCAAATGCCTTTGCATAGTCAGTAAAACATAGTAAACATCTTTCTGGTATTCTTTGCTTTTAGCCAAGATCCATCTGACATCAGCAATGATGTCCCTAGTTCCATATCCTCTTCTGAATCAAACTTAAATTTCTGGCAGTTCTCTGTCAACATACTGCTGCAACCATTTTTGAATTATTTTCAGCAAAATTTTACTTGCGTGTGATACTGATTTTTTTTTTTTTTTTTTTGCCTATAGAATCCTTCAATATTGCAATTCAACACTTGACTTTTTTCTTCAGTTCTTTCAGTTTGAGAAATGCCAAGCATATTCTTCCCTTTTGGTTTTCTAACTCTAGGTCTTTGCACATTTCATTATAATACTTTACTTTGTTTTTTTGAGTTGCCCTTTGAAATCTTCTGTTTAGCTCTTTTACTTCATCACTTCTTCCATTCACATTAGCTATTCTCTGTTAAAGCAGTTTATGAGTCTTTTCTGACATTCATTTTTGTCTTTTCTTTCTTGTCTTTTTAATGAAGTAAATGAGCTGAACAATAACATTCAAACAGAACAAGGAGATACTTCATGGTTTAAAATCAGGAAAGGTATACATCATGGTTGTATCCTTTCACCATATTTATTAATCTGCATGCTGAGCAAATAATCTGAGAAGCTGAGATATAAGAAGGGGAATGAGGCATCAGGTTTGGAGGAAGACTCACTAACAACCTGCAGTTTGCAGATGACACCACTTTGCTTTGTGAAAGTTAAGAGGCCTTGGAGCACTTATTGATGAAGACCAAAACTACAGCCTTCAGTATGGATTACACTTCAATATAAAGAAAACAAAATCCTCACAACTGAACCAATAAACAGCATCATGATAAATGGAGAAACAATTGAAGTTGTCAAGGATTTAATTTTACTTGGATTTGCAATCAATGCCCATGGAATCAGCAGTCAAGAAATCAAATGCTGTATTGCATTGGGAAAATCTACTACTAAAGACCTCTTTAAAGTGTCAAAAAACAAAAATGTCACTTTAACATCACGTGCGTGTGACCTAAGCCATAGTATTTTCAATCACTTCATATACTTATGAAAACTGGACCGTGAATAACGAAGGCCACAGAAGAAGAGATGCCTTTGAATTATGGTGTTGTTGAAGACTAACAAATATACCATGGACTTCCAGAAGAATGAACAAATCTGTCTTGGAAGATGTATAGCCAGAGTGTTCCTTAGAAGTGAGGATGGTGAGCGAGTAAGACTTTGTGTCATACACTTTAGGCATGTTATCAGGAGGACCAGTCCCTAGAGAAAGACGTAATGCTCGATAAAGTAGACAATTAGTGAGAAAGAGGAAGACCCTCAACAAGATGAATTGACACAGTGGCTGCAACAATGGGCTCAAACACAGTAACAATTGTGAGGATGGTGCAAGATTAGGCAGTGTTTCATTCTGTTGTACATGGGGTCACGATGAGTAAGAGCCTACTTGATGGAACCTAACAATGACAACAACAACAACAACGTATGTTAAATGGTTAACTGTAGCACTTTACACACAGTAGGCACTTAATCAATATTATTGTTTTAGTTATGGATATAGTCATTAATTAATATTTATGTGAACTGGTGATTGCCTCACTTAAAACATATCATCTGTAAATAGAAATTAGGAAAACTAGCTCCTTGACTTAAGTCTCAGGCAACAAATTTCAAGCCTATTGATGGTTATAGAGTGGGTGGTCATTCTAAATTTTATCACATTTCCATTGTCTTATTATATTTTTCTCTTAATAGTTTATTAGTATTATAAACTGAGGTCTTGGGGCATTTTATATTATCATATCTTTCAAAGAAAATTAAATCGAGAAAATTGCTAGGATTTGTCTAGCATTGGCTTAGCATGCTGCATTGCCTTCATGGTTTCCATGATTTTGATTTCTTTGAAATTTAATATGTCCCTAATTTGAAGTGATGGAATTATTTCCAAGTGAGGAGCCAACTATTTCATCAAGGCCTAATTTTTCTCCAGGGAGTGGTTTGAGCTTGGTCTTCATTTTGCGGAACTTTCATTGAAAGTTAATAAAACTAAGTCCATGCTATTCGCCTTGGATAATGAGAAGTGTTATGAAGTAATGACCTGCATTTCTTTATTGATACTATATTTGCAGTTCTGTAGTTCATGTGACAGTTTATGAGTATATCCTCTCATAATATTAAGTGGCCAATGCAAATTTTATCCCTTATTAAACTTGCTCAATTTACAACTTAAGTTTCAGCTTTTAAGTTAGATCTAGGAAATATACCTTTCTTTAGGAGTTACATTTTAATTTTGGAGTGGGTTTTTAGTTTCCGGTTAATGTCTTTTAAAATATATATTATCATTAATATTTTATAGTAAAATATAGAGACATTTCACTAAATGCCTGAGATTAACTTAGCTTTTGGAGTTTTAGTTTGTGCTTTTAGTTAACATTATTCTATAAACATTAATAGAGTCAGGTGAATCTTCACTAGGTTTTTCCTTAACATAGGAAGCTATTAATTTAGGCTGTCTGGAAACATCTTTTGAGCAATATTTATGGAATATATATTTTCTAATTTTCTCCTCTTTATAGCCTCATTTCTTTTTACTCTCCTTCTTTAAGTGGTAGATAATGTGATATAAAATGTTGAAAGCCTGCAATCTGTGAACGAATTAGGTGGAATGCAGCTGTGTGGTGAGATGCTTACCGAATCCAGGCAACATTAATTCTCTTACTTTTGTTTCTCTCTGTACATTTGCTTTATTTTTCTCTCTCTAAGGATCAGCTTTCTTTACTTCATCTTTGGATGAAAGGATTGCAGGTTTTGATTTTTTTAAAAATTATGCTTCAATTACAGCTATAAACAGGGATCAGCTGGATGGCTCTGAATCCTGATTTCAGACTCCTGGAAAAGAGACCAGATTAGACCAGTTTGAGTCAGGCATTGACCGTAGGCCAATTAACCATACTGCAATGTAATTCAAATGCTGGGTGTCTTCCCCTGTGTGTACTGAGGAGATAACCATGAAGGGAGAATTTTAAAATTCATTTTAAATATTATTTATTGCTTGCTTACTCTATGCCAGGCATTGCTTCATGCTAGTGGTTTTCAAATTTGGGTGTGCATCAGAATCACCTGTAGGGTGGGTTAAACAGAAATTGCTGGACCCCCACCTCAAGAGTATCTGATTTAATAGATAAAATAGGAGTAGGACCCAGGAATTTGCATTCCTGACAAGTTCCTAGGTGATACTGATAACGGTAGTCCAGAGACCCACACTTTGAGAATAGCTGTTGTAGGCAAAGTGAACAAAACACCATGCTGGCAGATAAGTAACAACAATAAGCATAGTAAAAAGCAAATTATCTACTATGTTGTAAGATGGCAACACTAAGGAAAAAAAAGAAACAGTGGAATATGGCAAGGGGAAGTGGGAGTGTGAGGCTGGAGAATGAAAGGCAGATTATAGTACTAAATGGGATGATCAGGGACATCTAGAAGGTGAGACTTGAGCAGAGTTGAGTTAGCCAAGTGGTTCTCTGGGGAAAGAGTTTTCCAAGCAGAAGCAACAGCTACAGCAGAAGCCCTAAGAATTCTAGCAGTACATCTGGTGTGTTTGAGAAACAACGAGGCCAGTGGCTGGAGCACAGGGACCCACAGAGAGGAGCAGTCAGAGAAGTAAGAGGTAAGTGAGGTGGGTCAGAGAATATATCCTAAACAGACTTCTAGGCCATAACAAGGACTTTGGCTTTTATCGTGAGTGAAATGGGCAGCAATTGGAAGGTTTTATTAGTGGCATGCCATACTGTGACTTCTAGTTTCAAAGATTCATTCTGGCTGCTGTGTTGGCAACAGATCATAAGGGGGCAAGAGTGGAAGCAGAGGGACCTGTATATTGCTGTGAACTGATGAGAGATGAAGATGGCTTGGCTAGGGTGATGGTTACTGATATGGTTGAGAGTGGTCAGATTCTGCATATGTTTTGAAGGAGGAACTAACGAAAGTTCCTGATGGAAAGGTAAAGATAAAAATAAAAGATTACAATATTTAGCTGACCAACTGGATGCATGGAGTTGACATCAACTGAAATGGGGAAGGCTGTGAGGGGGTAGATTTGGGGCATGGGACATTAGGAGGTCAGTTTGCGACATGTTGAGTTTAAGGTATTTATTATTTATTTAGAAGTGTTGAGTAGTCAGTTAGATATATCAATCTGAAGTTTGAGCAAGAGTTCTGGACAGGAGAGGGATTTGAGGGTAGTTTTTATTTTTAAAACCATAAGACTGAATGGTATCACAATGGAAATGAATGTACCATAGAGAGAAGAGTGGCCCAAAGACTGAGTCCTGGGGCATTCCCTTATAAAGAGATTGGGGGAAGGAGGAGGGACTAGAAAAAGAATGTGTCATGTAAGGTAAAAACAACAAGAGTGTGGAGTTCTAGAAGCCTAGTGAAAGTCGTGTATTGAGTAGGTCATACCTAGTTGTTTCATTTTCCTTCAGTGCTTCTTTTTCATTTCAGTCTGATCCTCTCTTAAATCTCTTCTGCATATCACTACCAGGCTAGTCATCCTTGAACATGCTTATGTCATAGCACTCTGTTAAAAACCCACAACTCATGGTTCTACAAACATTAATTTTATCATAGTGTCTTTTCTTGTCTCACAATGTTCACTAATTGAAAAAAGGATATATTTATTTTTAAAAATGATATTTATTTTAAAAAGGATATTTTTTAAAAAAGAAAGAAAATTTAAAGTTTATCCAACCCTCTTTCACATAATCTGTTGTTGTTTTCATTGTTGAATCTTAAAATATATGGTGCCTTAGCGGTGACCTGGTACAACTCCTTCTTTTGACAAATACAGCTCAAGGAAGTGATTCATTTACCACTGTAAATCTTGGTCCCACTATTTTTATTGACTGTGAGGTTCTGTACAAATTACTCAACTTCTCTCCACCCCAGTTTTTTCATCTGCAAAATACGGAGAGATGGTGTTAAAGTTTGGCTCAGAGCGTTGTAATGGGAATTCAATATAATAGCATATACTTTATGTCTTTAAATACTTCCATTTGATAGGAAAAGCCTTCTTTAATCATACTCTGCTTTGCCTGTCTTTCTAGCCTATCCTAAACACGCTGTGGTGATTCCCACTACAAGATCTATTTCAGATTCTGCCTAAAGTGTGCCAATCCAAATTTCATCCCTGCCTTAGGGTCTAGCTTGCGCTCTGCCTCCTCCATGAAGAGTTCGTTTCCCTTTCCTCAGCCTGCACCATTATTATGCTATTGATTGTAGCTTTTCCAAGGTTGTTTCTCTGTAACTTGATAATAGTTTTGTGGATGATGGGACCATTCTTATGTTTTAGAAGAATCTACCCCTACAGGGCTGAGGACAGAGAAACTTCATAAAAGTTTATTGGCTGGTTGACTATATGAGTATTGATTTGGCAGATTTGAAAAGTTCTGACCCTATAAATTATTCCCTTGAGTAGAATATATCTACTAACATGCCATTTACATACTTAATTCAGTGAACTTACTTAGACTTTATCTGCTTCCACAAAGGATTGAAGTAGCACGTAACTCATTTGGTGAGATTTCGTACTGTTCCATGCATATCTAAATAGATTGATTTTAGAAATATTTTTAAAGACAGATATTGTGCCAAAAGAAACAATATTAAAAAAAAAATGTTGGTTGATATGCTGATAATTTTCCCCCCCTGAACTTCTAGACTTTACTACTGGAAACGGTTATTTCCCCTAATGTTAAATGTGTTAAACTTAAAACATATCATGGCTCCTGGGAAGTGTCTCAGCCTCATTCTTTTCAGCTGTGAACCCTTTGTTGCACAAAGGCTTTGAAAGTGTCAGTCAGAACCAGAAAAGAATGGAGGATATTTCATATTTTGGGCTTGGGAAATCTGATTGTTTCTCATGGAACAGATTGTTCATTATAACAGTATCTATAATAAATGGAGTGTACTGCTGAGATAGATGGAAAAGAAATTAATTTGGCTCAGATGTGATCTTTGTTTTGCTTATGAGGATTTGAAACATCCTTACAGAGTTTCAAATTTCCATGCACTTTAGAAATAAAAGAGATTTCAAAATGTTTCTATCTCCCTTGCAAGTGGCAGTCCTTACCTTACCATGGCCCCATAGAACAGAACAGCAAATGGGGACAACTGTATGTGAAATTAGCATGTGGTAGAATCTTCTCAGAATTCTTGTTTAAGATACGCATATCAGAAATAAAAATATTGCCTAAGAAAATGTACTTTCTATTACAGGTTGCTTATCAGATGGGTAACTATGAGTTGGCTAAGAGAGTTTTTTCACCAGTTTGGGACTATTTTGTTGTTTCACCACTTCAGGATGACCAGTCTGTTATCAGTTTGAGCAATATAATGACTATCACACAGAGAAGGTAATTGAAAATGTTATTTTAAAATGTGAATTTGCTTGTTAAAAATATAGATGTTGGATGTGTGGCCTTGAATCAGTTTATTTTCATTTTCATGTTAAGTTAGTTCATATAAAACTGTTTCTAATACACTCCAAGGTCTCCAGTCTTTATTAGAAACTTCCTTGCTAGAGGCAGAGAAAACAATGGAGGAATATGGATACGTTCTGAGTATAAGAGAATGAAGTAAGAATAAAAATATCAGATACCAGGCAAAGTAGTATCAGTCATACCAAAAAACACAAATATGTATTGAGGACTTCTGTGACACAGAAAAGTCAGGTCAGGGTTAAGGTTAAGCCTTGATGAGTGGCCTCTTACACTGAGAAGACTTTTCCTTTGCTTGAAGAGTTTTTTAGGGTTAGGCCAGTAGCAGCTACAAATAGGCCAGTTGTTGTTGTTGTTGTTGTTGTTGTTATGTGCCGTCAAGTTGGAGCTGACCCGTAGTGACCCCTCCTTGGGTTTCCAATGCAGTGTCACTAGGGAAGTAGATTTCCCAGTCTTCCTTCTGAGGAGTGGCTGGTGGGTTTGAACTGCCAGTCACAGGCCCTCTTTCAGTATTTACCACCTTTTTTTCTTAAAATGGAGTCTATGATTAGTACAAATGGTTAACACATTCAGCCACTAACCAGAAAGTTGGAAGTCCAGATCTACCCAGAAGCACCTCAAAAACAAAACAAAACAAAAAAAAAGGTGTGGCAGTCTACTTCTGAAAAATCAGCCATTGAAAACCTTCTGGAGCATAATTCTATTCTAACATACATCGTGTGGAACACAATTCTGTTCTGACATACATGGGTTGCTATGAGTTGAAATCAACTCAAAGGCAACTGGTTTTTGGTTCCTTAAAAGAATTAAGAGCAATGTCAGAAATGAACATTAGTGTGACTTAAAGCTGTCCCAAGTTTGGAAACAACAGTCTCCTCCACTTGCTTGTTAATGCCTGAAATCCCTTTAGTAAGAAGACATCACTTTTCATTCTTCAATCAAAGTTAATGAGATTAAAAATGCAAATGCTTGTAGAGGCAAAGCATTGATTCACATAAACATATAATTCCATTCAATTAAACAAATATCTACTTAGCATTTACCATGTATAAAGATGTTAGGGTCTGTGGAGGATGGATTTGAGAAGCACTTTTGGGGAGAAAGAGCTTCGAAGAATTTATGTGACTTAGGTGGATAAGGGAAAGGAGGAAGTGAAAGTTAACTGATTTATAGTGTTAACTGATTGGGAAGTTTATGACATTTACTAGGGAAATGTGAGAGGAAGACCATGTTTTGGTAGGAAAGATTTGATTGGAGGTATTTTGATTTTCAGTTTCCAGCAGATGCCTTTGTGTATATGAGATGTCTGATAGGTATTGGATAGGTAACTTTGAGTTGGCTAAGAGAGTTTTTTTCACCAGTTTGGGACTATTTGTTGCTTCAGATATTTAGTTCTGACTCTCAGGGGAGAGGTGAAGACTAGATGTGTAGATCTAGAAATTGTCTACGGAGGTCATCACTGAAATCTTGAAAATGACTAATAGCTCCATAGGAATGACTGCTTAGCAAAAAAGTAAAACAACAACAACAACAACAACAACTAAAGTTGAACTGTGGTCATTGATTACATTTAGGAGCCCAAAGCAGGAGATGGAACTAAGGATGAATATTGAAAAGGAGTGGTGTGGGAGATGAGAGGAGATGAGGAAAGTGCACTGCCACAGAAACCAAGGGAAGTGAGAGCATCACCATGAGGAGACTGGCCTGCAACATGAAATGCTGGTGCCAGGCAGAGTAGTTGTTCAATAAAATACCTCAGAGAGGTTGATAGTGTGAAGGTTTAAGAAGAGGCTTTTAGAACTGGCAAGGAGAAGGCCGCTGATGAATCCAAGAGCAATTTTAATGGCTTGATGGACTGGAAACCACTTTGCAGTCAACTAAATAATAAATGAAAATGGATAATTTTAAAAAGCAAAAACCACTCCTGTGAAGTTTAGTGTAAAAGAGAAGAGGAAAATATGCAGAAGCCTGAGGGGCAAGGTAGAGTCAAGGACACAGATTTAGAGGGTGGAGGGAAATGAGCCACTGGAGAGGGAGAGAATGAAGACACAAAAAAGCGCTGTTGAGTATGATGAATATGGTAGAAGAGCCAGGAGGACATTAGAGCACATGGAGTAGGGACAAGTGGTTTAGAATGTTGACTGCGGAGAGTGTGAGCAAGGAGACGCCGGGGTAAATGCAAGCATTGCTGAGAAGAAATAACGACTCAGCTGATACCAGATCATAGGAATTTGTGGTGGAGCCCAGCTCCTTGTGGCTAAGGGCCAATTTGACTCATCTTTTTATCTCAGGGCCTAGAATGGTGGCTAGTACATAATAGATGTTCATTAAGTATTAGTTTGAATGAAAGAAAGAATGAATGAGTAGGATAAGTAAATGATTGACCACATAGCAGAGACAGAAAAAGTAGACAGTGACATCTATTCAAGGTCAGGCAAATTGATGATTGAAAAAAACAAAGGAGTGACAGAACCCAAAATGCTGGTGAGATCATTATTGAAATGACTGACCAGAGTGTGAAACTGAGCCAGGAGGAGGTGATAGCTTGGAAAAATTGTACATATCAGTGTACTGAAGTTTATCATGAGGCTGAAGAGAAAGTTTAGTAGGTATTGAAGGAGAAGGAAAACTAAAATTCTCCTGGCAATGATAATTTAAGAGTTTAACATGGCAATGAAACAAATGATATGCCTACTGTCTACTGGAGCTCTGGTGACATAGTGCCTAAAGCATTTCACTGCTAACCAGAAGGCTGGAGGTTCAAACCCACCAGCCACTCCTCAGAGGAAGATGGGCAATCTAATTCTGTAGAGATAGCACATCGGAAACCCAAGGAGGGGTCACTATGAGTCAGATCCGACTCGATGGCAATCAACTGATGTTAACATCTACTGATGTTAGATCCTTTACCGTTTTGAAGGGATAAGGCATATAGAGAGTATACACACCTGGAGCTTAAGAGCGAGGGTTTGTCACCAAGTAAGGTTAAGGGCAACGAAGGGAAAATTAAAAACAAAGTAGGAAGATTTTGCAGATCTCACAGCTTTGCCAGTGCTGGGCACTATTGATTACAGTTTCTCTCTTTTGAACCATGAGCAATTTTCCTTGAAATGAAACTAATTTTTCAGGAAGTTCATTAATTGAAATATTAAGGCTATTTTCCAGGTTTCCCAATATCTATAATGATTTCCTTATATTGATAGAAAAAACAACATTATATACTGTATTAGAACACAAACTTTGCCAATATTTATTTTCTGTATCTATGACATAATAACAGGTAAACATGTTTCTGATATTCTTTGCTTTCAGCCAAGAGCCATCTGACATTTGTAATGATATCCCTTGTTCTTTGTTCTCTTCTGAATCTGGCTTGAATATCTTGAAGTTCCCTGTCAATATAATGCTGCAACAGTTTTTGAATTATCTTCAGCAAAATTTTATTTGTGTGTGATATTGTTCAATAATTTCCACATTCTGTTGCATCACCTTTCTTTGGAATGGGCACAGATATGGATCTCTTCCAGTCAGTTGGCCAGGTAGTTGTCTTCCAAATTTCTTGGCATAGACAAGTAAGTGCCTCCAGCACTGTATCCATTTGTTGAAACATCGCAATGTGTTTTCCATCAATTCCTGGAGCCTTGTTTTTTGCCAGTTTCTTCAGTGCAGTTTGGACTTCTTCTTTCAGTACCATTGGTTCTTGATCATATGCTGCCTCCTGAAACAGTTGAACATTGACCGATTCTTTCTGGTGTAGTGACTCTCTGCATTCCTTCCGTCTTCTTTTGATGCTCCTGCATCATTCAATATTTTGCCCATACAGTTCTTCAATATTGCAACTTGAGGCTTGAATTTTTTCTTCAGTTCTTTCAGCTTGATAAATGCTAAGTGTGTTCCTCCCTTTTGGTTTTCTAACTCTAGGTCTTTGCACATTTCATTATAATAATTTACTTTGTCTTCTCGAGCTGTCCTTTGAAGTCTTCTTTCAAAAGCAAGTTTCAGAGTCTCTCTGACATCCATTGCAGTCTTTTCTTCCTTTCCTGTCATTTGAATAAAAGCATTTGAATGCTTTCTTCATGTGTGATGTTTTTGATGTCATCCCACAACTAGTCTGTTTTTTTGTCGTTGGTGTTCGAGACATCAAATCTATTCTTCATATGGTCTCTAAATTCAGATGGGATATACTAAAGGTCACATTTTGGCTCTGATAGACCAGTTTTAACTATCTTCAGCTTCAACTTGAACTTGCGTATGAGCAGCTGATGGTCTGTTCCACAGTCAGCCCCTGGCCTTGTTCTGACTGATGATATTGAGCTTCTCCATCACCTCTTCCCACAGATGTAGTCATTATGATTCCTGTATATTCTGCCTAGTCAGATCCACATGTGTACTGGCCATTTATGTTGTTGAAAAAAGGTATTTGCAATGAATAATTCATTGGTCTTGCAAAATTCTATCATGTGATCTCCAGCATCATTTCTGTCACCAAGGCCATATTTTCTAACCGCCAATGATTACTCTGTGGTGTTAAATTTGTCTGTCAACTTGGCAGGGCCTGGTTGAGTGGCTGGGCAGCTGGTGGTAGCTATTTCCCATGATGAGACTGATGATCATCTCCATGGTGGGATCTACCACAAGCAGCTGCCTTTGGGATGTGGTCTGCTTCCTGTATATAAGGAGAAGCCTTGGGGATAGTCTCTATGTTATGGCATGCTTGAACCCTGCATGTAGCTGTGTTGTTGCTCAGCAACCTGCCATGATCTGCTGACCTTGGGACTTTCAGTGGACTTGAATGAATGGCCTGATAATGTGGTTTGGTAACATCAGGGCTGTGCCTTTTTACTTGTCAGCCTTGGGCTTGTCAGCTTCAGCAGCCAGTAGCTGTCTGAGTAAAGAAAAGCCTCTGGCTTCAGCTCTGCCTCCTGGAGCAGGAGGCAGAGCTGAAGGCCAAGGCTGAGGGGCTTTCACCCAACCCTAGAGCCTGGCACTTTGAACTCAGACTTAAAACCTCCAAATTGTAAGAGAATAAATTCTTGTTTGTTAAGGCCATCCCATTTGTGGCATATTCTTGTCTGGGTGGCACTAGGTAACCAAAACATCCTCTTTGTTTCCAACTTTCACATCCCAATCACCAGTAATCATCAATACATCTTGATTGCATGCTGGGTCAATTTCAGACTGCAGAAGTTGGCAAAAATCTTCAATTCCTTCATCTTTGGCTTTTGTGGTTGGTGCATAAATTTGAATAATAGTAGTATTAACTATTCTTCCTTGTAGGCATATGGATCTTGGCTGAAAGCAAAGAATACCAGAAAGATGGTTACTTGTGTTTTATTGACTATGCAAAGGCATTTGATTGTGTGGATCACAACAAATTATGGATAAGATTGAAAAGAATGGGAATTCCAGAATACTTAATTGTGCTCATGAGCAGCTGTACATGGACCAAGATGCTGTCATTCACACAGAACTGTGAATGCAGGGGATACTGCATAGCTTAAAGTCAGGGTTGTATCATTTCACTGTACTTATTCAATATGTATGCTGAGCAACTAATCCAAGAAGCCAGATTATATGAAGAAGATTGTGGCATCAGGATTGGAGGAAGACTCATTAACAACCTGCAATATGCAGATGACATAACTTTCCTTGCTGAAAATGAAGATGACTTGAAGCACTTACTGATATAGATCAAAAACTATAATCTTTTGTATGGATTACACCTCAACATAAAACAAAAATCATCACAATTAGACCAACAAGCAGCATCATGATAAATGGAGAAAAGATTGAAGTTGTCAAGAACTTCATTTTAGTTGGATCTACAATCAACACCCGAGAAAGCAACAGTCAAGGAATCAGATGTCATATTGTACTAGGCAAATCTGCTTCAAAAGACCTCTTTAAAGTGTTAAGAAGCATAGATGTCACTTTGAAGACTAAGGTGCACCTACCCCAAGCCATGGTATTTTCAGTACCCTCATATGCATGTGAAAGCTTTACAATGAATAAGGAAGACCAAAGAAGAGTTGATGCCTTTGGATTATGGTATTGGTGAGGAATATTGGAAATACATGGACTGCCAGAGGAATGAACAAATCAGTTCTGGGAGAAGTGTAGCTGGAATGCTCCTTGGAAGCCAGAATGGACAGACTTCATCTCACCCACTTTAGTCATGTGACCAGAAGGTACCATTCCTTAGAGGAGGATATAATTCTTGGTAAAGTAGAGCACCATCAAAAAAGAAGAAGGCCCTCAACAAGATGGACTGACACAGTGGCTACAATTACGGGCTCAAGTATAGCAAGAATTGTGAAGATGGCGCATGACTGGGCAGTGGTTTGTTCTCTTGTACATGGGGTTGCTGTGAGTTGGAGTTGACTTGAGGGCACCTAACAACCACATGACATAATATGTCAGAAGCTTGGTTTTCCTAATTGTGAACTTATTCCAGGGTTGATCTTTACATTTAATTTAAACTCACTGTACAGTCGCTAGCTATTTTTGTTCCACAACTTTTTGTTGCTATATTGGGATCATTATGTAGACATTAAGAGTGTCAGCTTAGAAAGGTGAGTTCACATGCCAAATCATTTTATATTTTTACGTATAAACATGTTTGCTTCCTCTTGCAGATTATATTCAGACATTCTGGCAGAGACATCATCAATCCTTTTATACCTTTTTCTTAGAAATATTTTTGTAACAAGTGACATTAAAATCAAAGAAGAAAACCTCTTCTGTGATAATATTAAAGGCAATGAGATCTTCCCCTCTCAACAAGTAAGTGAATTAAAGTGATTGAAAATATGCCAGTTTTTCTTATTTGTTTTCTGATGTTTCAACATGATGTTCTTTTGAGATTACATGTTTCGGCTTGTGAATGGGCTGAGACCATTGTGTGATGTGCTGGTTTAATTGATATTCCACGTAGGTTATAAAGGCTTGCATTCATGTTTTTTTTCCCCCTCTGTATACACAATATATATTTCACATATCCAAAAATGCATAATGTATAAAGTAAGTCCTATTTTAATCCTAGTACTCCTGAAAATACCATGGTTTTCTTTTCATATGATTTCTCCGGTTTTTCAGATATAAATATATATAAATCTGTGTTATTGTTATTATTACATAAATAGGATCATGCTCTTGCTGTTTTGCAACTTGTCTTTTTAATTTTATAATTTGCCTTGGACATATTTTCATGCTGTTGGACATCAATCTACCATATTCTTTCTAATTATAATATTGTCTTTCTGTATAGCAACAGAAATTTAACCTATCTCTTATCCACAGACTATCAGGGAAAAAACAAAACAACTCACTGCCTTCGAGTCGATTCGACTCATAGCGACCCCTCCCTGGGTTTCCGAGGTGATATCTCTACAGAAGTAGGTTGCCCAGGCTTCCTTCAGAATGGTTCTAAAAAGTGCTAGGCACATTTGTGCAACCCCAGAATTCTCTGGCTTTTAATAATGATCCTGCATTATTCTTTTACACCAGCTTCTCGCTCTTTCTCTCTCTTTTTCCCTTTACTCACTTTAGATATGCAGGCTTTTGCCACCTGTTTTTTCACATTATTATTATTGTTATTTTTCTTGTTTTAAGGTAAAGATTTATATATTTTATTTATTTTTAATTGTGCTTTAGGCGCAAATTTACAAGGCAAATTTGTTTTATATTTAACAGTTCATGCACATTTGATTTCACTCCCTGATTACCATCCCCAACCACTGCATTACGTTTCTGTATCCATCCACTTATTAATTAATTAATTAATTAACCAGTCAACTGTTACATGTGGTTGTGCTATTTTCTGGGGATTATGCAGATTAAAAAAACAAAACAAAACATAGTCCTTTGCCCAAGACAAGTTCCATAAACATGTGGAGTTCAAGATCTAACAAACCCTCCTCCTCCTGCTGCATTACATTCAGTTCCTCTTTCAGCATACCCAGTTTGAAAATAAAGACAATCTTTAAATAGTCCCGTGAATTCCAGAATGCTCGAGTACCATTCTAGTAAGAGCTGGCTGAGTAGAAATTCCTGATTGCTACTCAGAAAGTTTTCTCTGTATATAATCTCATATGTATTTGTAGAAAACTAATGAAATCTTTCCCCAGGAAAGGGAAAAGAGGAGTAAAATAGGATTTTTGTTTTTCTTACGTGGTATTTAATCTCAAAATTCTAACTTTGCATTTTACAATAATTTTTAAGTAGCAAAAGTAAGTAACAGACTATGAAAATTGAAAATTTACCATTATTTCACAAATCAAAATGGGAAATGAAAATTTTTAATGAAGTGGAGGAAATATGGAGATGTTTTATTTTAACTATTAGTTGTTATAATTTATATTTTTTAAAACTAGACTTTTTTATAACATTAATATACAGTGAAAGTTTTATCTTACTAATAAAAGAAAGATTGGTTCCTTTCAGTTACTAGTGGTGCATGGTGCTTGTACTGCTCTGAAGTTTAATTCTAACATTCTCTTATTCACACACAGCATTATTGGTGAGTTAGAGTCATTGCTGAACTTAGATTTTGTTCATGCCAACATTTATGTTGTTGTTAAACCACCAGGATCACAATCCTTTCCTCTTCTTAGGGAGACATAAATTAAGAACCTTATGTTTCTGCTTGTGTGTGCTGCATATATACCCATATATTTAATAAAGCACAGAGGAGGCACAGTTATGGAAGTTTCCTAGATATATCCACAAAACTTGCAGGATTCGTTTACTGGGTTAAAAGGCATAGGGCCATAGGCTCACAGGATAACTTAATCAATTGGTATAACATAGTTCATAAAGATAATGTTCTATACCCTAGTTTGGTGAGTAGCATCTGGGGTCTTAAAAGCTTGTGAGCAGCCATCTAAAATACAGCTATTAGTCTCTTCTTGTCTGGAGCAAAAGAGAATGAAGGAAACCAAAGATTCAAAGAAGAAACTAGTCCATAGGACTAATAGGCTTTACAAACCATGGCCTATTCTAACCTGATGCCCAGCTACCACTACTGACTGTTCAAAAATATAGAGCAAAACTCAAATTCCTAAAAAAAGCCAGACCTACTGGACTGTTAGAGACTAGAGGAGACCCTTAGACTACTGCCTTTAGATATCCTTTGAACTTGGTACTGAAGCTACTCCTGGAGGTCCTTTCAGCCAAATAATAGACTGGCTTATAAAAGAAACAACATCACTCATATTCTGATACCCAGTGCTGCTCTGACAAGAATATATACCACAAATGGGATGGCTTGAACAAATAGGAGTTTATTCTCTTACAGTACGGAAGGCTAGAAATCCGAGTCCCAAGTGCCAGGCTCTAGGGTCTGTGTGAAAGCCCCTCTACCTTGGGCTTCAGCTCTGCCTCTTGCTTCTGGCCCACTGAAGCTAGAGGCATCTCTTCACTCAGGCAGCTACTGGCTGCTGAGGCTGACAAGTCCAAGGTTGACAAATAAAAGGGCACAGTCCCGATGTTACCAAACCATATGGCAGGCCATTAATTCAAGTCCATTGAAAGTCCCAAGATCGGCAGAGCATGTCAGGCTGCTGAGCAATGACACAGCTACGTGCAGGGTTGAAGCGTGCCATAAGCTAGAGACTATCCCCAAGGCTTTTTGTTACATACAGGAAGCAAACTACATCCCTGAGGCAGCTACTCAGCTGCTTGTGGTAGATCCCACCATGGAGCTGATTACCAATCTCATCATGGGAATACTACATCCAGCTGCCCAGCCACTCAACCAGGCCCAGCCAAGTTAACTCACAAACTTAACTACCACAACCAATGAGTAATAAGCCCCTTAAACATTCAACTATGTGAGACCAAATGGTAACATTTATCCAAAAGCAAAGATGAGAAGGCAAGGAGGGAAGGGAAGGTAGATAAATGGAAGTAGAACAAACCAAATAATGAGAATGCTGACATATTATACAGATTGTAACCAGTCTTATGGAACAATTTGTATAAAAAGTGTTAAATGTGAACCTCATTAGCTATGTAAACATTCACTTAAAACACAATAAAATGTTTTTTAAAAAATAAACTTTTGTTCAATTTGAGTAATGATGCCTTTCTTTACAGATTGCTAGACTGATTGAATGTGAGAGAATATTAGTGGCATTGGAACTTAGCAACTTTTTAAATGATTCCAGTTATGCCCTTCAAGCTGTGACCCAATGTTATGGCCTCCTTGCTCCTATCATCTATCACAATATTGTTTTGGTACCTGTTGTACAGGTAAGGGTATTCTTTTCCCCCAGATAAGTGTATTTTTAAAAAAGCAACTCAGCCAGGGATGTTGGAAAAGAAAATGCAATGTATTTTTTTATAAGGAATGAATGGGTAAAAAGTAGATATTACGAAATTTCAAGAATTAACTGAAAATTATTTTAACAATTTAAATTAGCTATCAATGCAAGCATAAATAAGGACATAAAATGGTTTATTTGAAAATGTACAGCACAGTTGCAGTCCATATTTAAATATCGGCAGATTAGTTCTCTAGATTTTTAAACTTATTTTAATATTCTTGTTCTTATGACGTTAGAAACAGCAGTATGTATCCAAAGCTTATTTTTAAAATCACCTTCTGGGGGAGGGGGAGATTGTGAATCCCTCCCCCCCAAAACAAGACAAAATGAAACAAAACAAAACAAAACTTGATGTCTGATGATGGAGGAGTTGGAACTTAGAGGAAAAGAATAGGTGAGACCTGGCTGAAGGGATTATATTAGTTGTCTATGATTTATAACAAATCACCATAAATTTAGTGCTTAAAACAGCATTCGTACATTATCTTATAGCTTCTGTGAGCTAGAAGTCTGGGTGCTGACTAGCTGGGTCTTCTGTTCAGCGACTCACAGGCTGAAATCAGGGTGCTGACTGGGGCTGTGATCTCATCTGAGGCTTGGGGTCCTCTTCCAAGCTTCCTGGTTATTGAGAGAATTTATTTCCTTGTAGTTGTAGGACTGGAATAGTAAGTTGATGCCATGTGGGAACAGCTTCTCTAGGATTCTGGTTGATCTCTTTTCCTGGGGAAACTTAACAAGAAGAAAGTCAGTGGGACAAATGACAGCTGCAGCTGGTCCAGGGCAACAACTGATATGCACTACCTCCCTCCTCTACTGCCTGTTTTGATTTCCTTCACACCCAGCCAGCAAATCTGCTGCTTGAGGTGGCTCCCATGGTGGCGTGCCTCAGATAGGAACCTCTGATGTGTCAGAGCCTCTTGCTTTATGTTCTCTATGTTCTAAGGCCATGGCTGTTGCATGTGCCCTATTACTATCAAAATTGGGTAGGAGGGGACCTATGCTTTTGGCCAAGATGGAATAGTAGGGAACCTCTTGGTTCTTGGATCCATATGTTCTACCTACTGGGAGACAGTACCACATGCTAGTCATTGATTTAGAGGGTATACCATGACATGGAGGATGGTGTCTCATTCTCACTGGGTATAATCTTAAAGCTGGTACCTAAGTTGCCCCTTATC